CAAGAGTAGTCGATCAATGAAACGTACAAAGTCGGACCTAAATGAAGGCATCTCCTCCTCTAATGTGTAGCCGAATTTGGGCCGCACTTGTGGCGGTTCCAGAGTTACAGATCCTGAAAAATAGTTTGACCATAAAACCCTCCATTCTTTGCACACCACACCTTGGTCATTATCTATTAGTCATTATTTAACTAAATGTCTAGACTCATTTGGATATTATTCTTCTCACTAGTTATTATTAAGAACAATCATCAAATATCAACTTCTCCCCAATACTGACGTCGGTTGCGCCGTACGCCTCCTCCTCCGCTGTCGACCATCAGTAGCGGCAGCTACCTCCGGCATCACCACCGCCATCATCAGGCGCTACTTATTGCGTTTCTCGCCATGATTGACGCACGAGAGACGGATTACCGATAAATATAGCACACAAATAAGTTGAACGGAACGCTACCTAAATCTCATCAATACTAGAGTTGAGGTGGAAGAAGTTATGCCATAGAGAGTACATAAAAGGTGGATCTTAATAACACAAAGGTTGTGTTTGGACTGAAGTGGGTGGAGGTAGATTGAGGTGAAATTTAAAACTTACTTTGTTTGTGAGAAAAATTTGAGATGGGTAGGAGGAGGTGGATGGAGGTAATGTAACTTGCCAACAGTAGAAAATCGGAAACCACTGAATCCCCGATCAACCTAGGTGAAATTAAAATCTTTCACTTTGCCCCTTCTTGTTTTAATTTTTTTCTTCATTCTTCGATGGTCCAGCTCTTCTCCGCAATGCTCTCTCTCGTCCTACGGAGTAATTTCTTCTTTCTTCGACGGTCCAGTGACGCACAGACGTCGTTCTTCCTCTCTCCATTCGCATGATCCAGGCGATCCCCCAATGGCTTTTCTTCTTCCATCCGGTGATTCCAATTAGTGACTACGGTAATTAGTTAATCTTATGGACTAATTTAGAAAAAATTACAGTTATTGAGTACAATTTTTGGAATTTACTCCAGAATGTTGTTATATACAAATCTAACATCAGATGTGAAATAATAGATACGGAGTATTTTACATTGCAAAACTACTTTTTAGAGCACAAGACATGAAAAGCCTTATAAAATAATAAAAGGATAGACTTTGAATAACACTCTCTAATATAGCATGAGAAATAAGTTATTTCTTTGCCCGATGCTAATAAATACTCCCTCCGTCACACCCTCTTTGTCCACTTACCTTTTGGCACACCATCAATAATACACTTCTTTAATCCATTTTATCTTGTAATTTGTATAATAAAAAATTATAGAAATTATATATTAATAATCTATATGTTAAGACAAATCAAACAAGATCACACATGACTATATTTAGGCTTACACATTGAGAGAATTTGATGAGTCAAAGTACTTAGATGAACAGTTCCAAAAGTCAAAAAGGAATAAATATAGCGGGACGGAGGTAGTAATAATAACTGAAAAAGGTGTTGACATCCAAAAACAACATCAACAACAACAAAAACCAACAAAAGGGCACTAAAGTGAAACACCGCGCCATTTGATAGTAAATAGACCACCATTGTTGTTATTGAAGATCCACCTTTTAACAACCTCTTCATGCATACAAACATCTGCCACATTCTCATCCGAAAACCAAATCTCTTTATGACATTCCTCCCTCCACTCCAACTTGGGTACAAATTTATGAAATGCGGGCGATGCCGTTTTCTCCAACTCAGATATATCATNAACTTGGGTCAGGCAAGGCACATCGACCAAAGATGTGTGACAGAATCGTCCATTGCCGCCGAATTTAAAACACACCAAATTGGGGGCCGATACCACTGTGACTAGTACATCCCCCATAGAACTCACCGAGGCATGAATCTCCAAACGCTTCAAGGCCTCGTGGTGCAAGATGCGAAAACCAATTAATTTTTGTGATCTTGAAACGCTTAGCTCTTGGAGTAAGGGACAGCCGTCCAAGAGTCCCTCTAGCATTTCTCCCGAAACACTTATGAATCTCAAGCGAAGGACCTTCAAACACCGGCACCCTTCCGGCCATGAAAAATTGTAACTCCACATTGGGGAGAATATTAGATCAAAGAAGTTGAGATCCAAAGTCTCGACTTGTTTCGCTGTGGCCACGCGGATCCAGCGATCGATGTTTGACGCTATGCGTGGGTCGTTAAGGAAGCACACGACTTTAAACTCTTTCAAGTATGGGTATTTCAACCCCTCCAAGAGTAGTCGATCAACGAAACGTACAAAGTCGGACCTACATGAAGGCATCTCCTCCTCTAATGTGTAGCCGAATTTGGGCCGCACTTGTGGCGGTTCCAGAGTTACAGATCCTGAAAAATAGTTTGACCATAAAACCCTCCATTCTTTGCACACCACACTTGTTCTCACTGCTTCTTTCAATGGTAGAAGGGACAAAATCATCCCAATCACTTCTTCCGGTAATATATTAATCACATCTTTTGTTGTGCTCGAAACAAACTCTTTATCATCTTTCATGTCCATCTCCATAGTTTAGCCTAATACAAAGACAAAAGTTGAACACAAAAGTTGTGAATTATTACTAGATTAATATAATGCCAAACGATTCCATGATATCTCGACGCTTTAAAAATATTTTTATTCATAACAAACAATCAACGTAATTAAAAAAAAGTGAAATTTGCAATGAATAGGACTAAAACATTAAGTCATGTCGATGTAGGACTTAAACTTTTTTATTCCCTAAATAGGACTTAATAATGACAGAAGAAGAATGTCCAAGTGATGCTAGATATTTAGTTGAATAATGACTAATAGATAATGACCAATGGTTCTACATTGGTAAATAAAAACATATGGTTCTATATTGAGAAAGTCATTATGTTTTAATCCTATTAAGGTAAATTATCCAAGAGTAAAATTTGCACTAAATAGGACTAAAACATAATGACTTTCCTAATCTAGGACTTAAACTTTTTTATTCCCTAAATAGGACTTAATAATGACCTTGTGGGAGGAATAATGTCCAGTAATGATAGACATTTAGTTGAATAATAACTAATTCATAATGACCAAAAGTCCTACATTGGGAAATAAAAACATATGGTCCTATATTGAGAAAGTCATTATGCTTTAGTCCTATTTAAGTTTATTACTCAAAAAAAATCACCATCTTTGTCATTATTGGCTTCTTTTTATAAAGACTCACCCTACCCTTCTATGATTGTGTCAATTTATTAAATCATCATCTCAATAACTCTAGTTTTATTTATATAAATTTATAACCCTAAATTTTTAAGATTTGAATAGCCCTAGTGTATTTATATAAGTTTTTTATATCAATTTATTTCAAAAAAGTCACAAATCAAATCTCCAAAATCAAGTTGAAAGAATTTTACATATTGAATCATATATACGTAGTAATAACATTGGAAATTTGGAAAGAAGTCAAGAAAAGAAATTAGAAACTCACCACGCAGCTGTGAATCCCTTCACCTTCTCGACCCTCTCGGCTATTGCTGCAAGATCAAAAGTGGAATAGTGGGAAAGAAGTCACACTGTTGTCATAAATTAAATACTCCCTCAGTCCTGTTACCATTTTGACTAAAATTGAAATTAAGGGACGGATAATTTTGCGTTGACTTTTCAAAAATACCCTTGATGTGAGGGGTAAAAGTAGGATGTGATGTGTAGATTATTAGGAAAAAAGTATGATGTGATAGGTAGGGTTTGAAAAAGTAAGTGGTAAAAGTGGGTTTTTAATAGAAATGGGTAAGGAATTATAATTTTTTTGAAACGTGTAAATCTTTTTGGGACGGAGGGAGTATAATTTAAATAAGTAAATGCAAAATAAATTTGATAAATAGAAACTGTATCCAAACATGAATCTAATTATGTTTAATTTACACCATAATTAAATATATATACTTTTTTACCATTTATAGTTGAATGGTGTCACCAACGTTCTAATCTGGTTGAAATAATTTCTTGTTAGATCTGAATGTAATTATATTTAAAATTATTTCTGATCTGGTACGATTAGTAATCAATAAATAAAAATAATAATAAATGGCTAAAACTGTAACGCAAAATTGGAGGAAGAAGAAAAAAACAAACTAAAAACGAAATCTTAATTAATTAGGTAGCTAGGACTCACATGGATTAATAGCGAATGATGACGGCGGTGCGTGGTGGAAGCTGGTGGTGGTGGTGGACGACAGAGGAGGCACGCGGCGGCACAGATGATGGCTTGTATTATAGTTGTATCCATCATATACTTTTAAGTCCTAAATAAAGGATTCCAAGTCCCATTTGGGAAGGAGATACATAGATGGGACCGCTCTTTGTTAGGCCTCATTGCTCAAAATCTGCAGCCCATTGCATTTGATTGGGCTCACATTAATACTTTACCTTCCATACCTCCACTATTTAACTTCAAATATTTAGTAGAAGAGTAATATTATAATCAGAAATAAACCGTTCACAAAATTCATAAATTTACTTTTTAAATATTTTATTAGAAATAAGATGCATTCAAATAATAGAAAAATATGTTAATTTAAAATTAAAATGATAGACTTTTAAATAATACGGAGTACTCTCTAATACATACTCCCTCCGTTCTGAAAATCCTTCTTATTTTTTTCATCCGTCTCAAAAAACACTTCTTATTTCTATTAAAAGCCACTTTTACCCCTTACTTTTTCATAGCCTATCTATTACATCATACCTTTTTACTAATAATCTATCAATCAAATCCTACTTTTACGCTTCACATCAGAGGATTTTTTTTGGAAATTCAATACCAAAATACACTTCTCTTAAATCTCTTGAAAATAAAAGACTTCCATATATTTAGGAACGGTGGGAGTATGTATGAGAAATAAGTTACTCCGTATTTCTTTGACCGATGCTAATAAATAATACTACCTCCGTCTCATATTATTTGTCAACTTTCATTTTTACACATCATCCAATACACCTCTTTAATCCATTTTATCTTGTAATTTGTATATTAAAAAATTATAGAAATTATATATTAATAATCTATATGTTAAGACAAATCAAACAAGATCACACATAACTATATTTAGGCTTACACATTGAAAGAATGGAAAGAAAATAAAAGAGAGCACACAAATTTTTAACGTGGTTCGGCACCTCAAGACCTACTCCACGACCCCCTCTGGGATAAAATCTCACTAGTAATTTTTGCACGGAAAAATTACAAAACCTCTCCAATATTTGACACTCACAACCTAAAATCTAATACACAATTATATAGATTGAAGGATTGTGTTGTGTGATGGAAGCCTATATCTCCTCTTTATTTATAGGCTCCAATCCCTCCTCAATTTTCCTATCCCACCGATGTGGGACTTTGAAGTAACACTCAACAATGTTTTGTTGGTTAAGGATCCGTTAAAGAAAACGAGAAGAAAAACTATGTATATAGCATAAACACTTATGGGTTTAATTAACAAAGTTCAGCCAGCGTCATATAAGGAGTAATTATTATTACCTTTCGTTTGGTATACGCAATTGACGAAATTGGAATTGAATTGAAATTAAAAATCAATGGAATTAAATTTGATGGAATTGAGCTCTCAAATTTCAATTCATTTTTTTGTACTACCAATTCCAAATACTCATATTTTTTGTGCTACCAAACACTAGAATTGGAATTGAAGTTACCAATTCAAATTACATGACTTTAATTCCGTGTAAAATTTTCTTGCTAAATACTTTTAAGTCTTTATTAGCGAAGCTCCATCAGGAACATAAAATAAAAAGATAAAGAGAGCTTATGCATATATAGATAGACCGGCCATAGAGGGTAACATATTGAATTGCAATAAGTAGGCGTGATGGACGGAAAATCAAAAAAATTAAAGTACGACGATTTGTTTTAAAACTGCTTTTAAAATGAGTAGTTTAAGTATTATTTTCTAATTATGATTCATCTATCTGCAAAACAAAATTACTACGTATTTATTTAAGAAATGCGCATTTTTTTTTAAACGGGACGAATGGAGTGTAAAACAAGTGCTGTTTTATTACTGGAGTATTATTCTGGAGCTAGACTTGTACAAGGCTGATGTACGAACTACTTTTGTCTTCAAGGCCGTAATTCTTCACTTTCCTCTCCATTTATGTGTTGATTTCGTTATTATTTTTCAATTTTAGTATTATTGTGAATGTTATAGAATTATTTGTAATCTTGTTGCATGATTGATTTTCTTTGTTATTTTGAATTCAATAAGGTTTATATGTTATTTTTAACATTCAGGCAAAATTTCATATGTGAATAAGTAGTTGAACAACTAAGCATTGATATGTTAAAAATTAGATATTTGACAACTTTAACTGTTTATAGTTAGCTGTTTGCATTGTGAGTAAAATTACACATAAAGACATCCCTCCATTTATGTTAATTTGTGTATGATTTTAAATATTTTTTTAATTTGACAAAAATACACACATTATACAAGAAAATGCTTTACATATATTTTTTTGTTGGACAAAAAAGGCTACTTCGTTTTTTTTAATTTAAGAAATGAGAATTTACATTGATATTTTATAAGTAGATTTTTTTTGTATTTTTCTCATTTATCATTCTTCAAATAACAACCATGCATGATATATTTTATTTTATAATTTTATAAATATGATATCATATATATATATATATATATATATATATATATATATATACATATACTCTACACCAATTTCAAATTAAAAACTTAAATAAGTTACTCAAGACAAGCATCACAATATAAAGTATCAAACATCTTTTGAGACGACATGAGCATTAGAAGTGACAAAAAATCAGACAAGCTCTCGACTATTCAGAAAATTGCAGAGAGAAAGTCAGGAAAACTTCTGGTGCCATGAGGATCGCAGAGAGACGCAACACCGGAAAAAGGGTAGGAAACGGAAAAGGGGGTGAATCGCTAAATGAAATGCTGCTAGGGTTGGCATTTCAATTTTTGGCTATTCGATTCTAAATGCCAATTCCAAAAGCCATTATCCAAACAATTAATTTGGCGGTTTGACTAGTCCAATTCGCCGCTTATGGTCAAAGATGTCAAATGCTGGATGAACCGCCATTTACCAAACATGGCTATTGAATTGAAGACGTAATAACGACGAGGATGGGTGAATTGGTTTTCCTCTCCGGTGTGGCGGTAAGACAAGATTATGAGGAGAGTAAATCATTATACAATCTGAATCTGGTTTTAGAGAGGTTGCATCGTGCCCTGTGTGCATACAAGGAGTTATTATAAAAAATAGCACTTCCACTGTGCCGCTGCCAGGATTCGACCCTGGTATCAATAGGCTTTACAATTTCTTCTAAGTCCAGCTGAGCTACCCATGCAGGCAATAGATTTATTTCGAAATGTACATAGACCATAGCTTTGAAATATCCTAGCTACTTTTATATTTCATATTTATATATTTTCTGTGAATATGATACTATATTATATTTTGATATCATTATGTAGAGATCTTAATTTGAAAATAACATGAAAGTCTTATATGTGTTGCTGTATTTTATTCCTCTTTGACTCTTTCGTTCCTAGCTCCCAAGTGAAATGCTACGTTAAAGAAGAAACGAGGCAAGGGACGATACATGGTCAAAGAAGAAACGAGGCAAGGGACGATAATTGAGCTGTTGGGAGCTAGCGAAGGCGCAAACCGAAGGAGTGCGTCCAAGCGGCAGAGGTCCAAGAAGTACATGTTTTGTTGGTTAAAGATCAGTTAAAGAAAACGGGAAGGAAAACTATGTACGTATATAGCACAAATGCTTACGGGTTTAATTAACAAAGTTCAGCCAGCGTCACATAAGGAGTAATTATTATTACCTTTCGTTTGGTATACGCAATTGACGAAATTAAAATTGAATTGAAATTAAAAATCAATGGAATTAAATTTGATGGAATTGAACTCTCAAATTTCAATTCATTTTTTTGTACTACCAATTCCAAATATTCATATTTTTGTGCTACCAAACACTAGAATTGAAATTGAAGTTACCAATTCAAATTCCATGACTTTAATTCCGTGTAAAATTTTCTTGCTGAATGCTTTTAAGTCTTTATTAGCAAAGCTCCATCAGGAACATAAAATAAAAAGATAAAGGGAGCTTATGCATAGACCGTCCATAGAGGGTAACATATTGAATTACAATAAGTAGGCGTGATGGACGGAAAATCAAAAAAATTAAAGTGTGGCGATTAATATATTGAAAGAGTGTGTGTGACAAAAAAAACACTTGCTCAATTTAAAATATTCACCACCCAATATACTTCCTTTGTCCCAGTATAAAAGTCTTCCTTTTTCTAAAAATTACATTTTTAAAATGAATAGTTTAAGTATTATTTTCTAATTATGGTTCATCTATATATATCAAACAAAATTACTTATTTAAAAAACGAACATTTTTTAAACGGGACAAATGGAGTATAAAACAACTGTTGTTCTATTATTATTCTGGAGTTAGATTTGTCTATAAAAAAACATTCTTGGTTTGATATTTTGGTGACACGAGTTGACCACCATGTTATGAAAAATGTACATTGAATTATTAGCAATTATTATGATGTAAAATGAAGATATAGTTTTGATAAATCAAATACTTTATAATATTTGTTTATTTAAATGGTGTAAGGAAGGAAAGAGTGTGACAAAAAAAATCAAAACAAAGAGGGAGGAGGCCAGGGCGGGGATGGTGGTTTGAATTAAACACGTGTGTTATAGTGGAGGAAGTAAGAGTAGGTGAATTGGTTTTCGTCTCCGGCGTGGCGGGAGGGACGACGACGCGGATCGTGAAATTCTTGTTTTTCTCACTGAGGGAAGATGACGCGGATCGTGAAATGGTTTTCTTCTCTCTCACTGAGTGAAGTTGACGCGGATTCATAATTTGGTTTTCCTCTCTCTCTTTCTCGCTGCGCGCGAAATTGAAGTGGCCCGGCCGGATTTCTCGGAAGCTAGTACGGAGTGATTACAAATTGCGGGTTACGGAGTAAAATTTCTTACTTTTTGAAATCATTTTATTTACAAATTGATATATCAATAAACTATAAAAATTACACATTAAAAAATTACGTCAAAAGTTCTATAAAATAAGAGGTGACAAAAATATTTTATTTTATCATGTATTTGATAAAATCGCATAAACAAACAAAAATTATCGAGAGGAGAGAGAAAAAAAGATTGTAATCTGGACAGAGGGAGTAGTATATAGAGAGAGAGGGAGGGTGTGAGATTTTGGGGCACGAGGCGCAATAATCTCATTCCATCAAGAAAATCAATCCCTCTCTAAATCTCTTACACTACCGGCCAACTAACTAATACTCGGTAACAAACTTAACCACCATGCCAGCTAAGCAAACTAATCTTTATTAGTTATGCCAACACTCTCTGCGCGCGAAGTTGAAGTGGCCCGGCCGGATTTCTCGGAAGCTAGTTAGTACGGAGCAGTATATATAGAGAGGGAGGGTGTGAGATTTTGGGGCACGAGGCGTAATAATCTCATTCCATCAAGAAAATCAATCTCTCTCTAAATCTCTCTCTCTCTCTCTCTCTCTCTCTCTCGAGTTCTGGATCGATCAAGAAAACCGGCCATGGAGGAATCCCAAAGTCTCTCTCCGTCGTCGTCTTCAACAACTACAACAAAGGTCTCCTTCGCCTCATCCGTGGCCGCCGGCCTAGCCGGTCTTCGCAGGTTTATATATATATATATATATATATATATATATATATATATATATATATATATATATATATATATATATATATATATATATATCGATATACATACATACATGTATTGTGTGTCAGTGTGTGTGTGTGCATGCCTTACATATGTATATTCCGACGATGGATGCAGGGATGACGCCGCCGAGATGTGTGCGAAAAAGTTACTGGAAGAGAATCAGCAACAGCGGGGTGGCGGCCCATTGGACCTGCTGCTGCGTTCCGTGCTGCGGCTGCCAGCGGACGGCGGCAAGATGGATGAAGTGAGAGAAGAAGATGACGACGCCCTCCTACCCTCTGTCCTTGCCTCCGATTTGGAGCAAAAGAAAGATTCCTTCTCTGCTGTTGATCCAGACTGCCTCCTCAAGTTCCTCAGCCACTTGGTGTCTACCCCAACGCACACAGAGAAATATTTCGTCCTTATCGCAGTCCTCATGGAAAAAGTCCTGAGTTGGCGCCTAGTGAGTGCCGAGGCGCTCGCCTTGGAGATCGGGGAACTACTTCCGGCCGACCCTGCCCTGGCGGCTGCCGCCTTCGACTTCATCGGATTCCTTGGCCGGCAGGTGGCGCCGGCCACCCCTTCTCCTCATGGTGCTGCGGCGGCGGCCGCTTTGTTGCTTCCCACCCTCACAACCCTGCTCTTGGACGCGGTGGGGTGGACGGAGGACTTCCGCCACTCCCTCAAGGCTTTGCACGAGGTGACCTCTTCATGGTTCCGTCTGGAGGATGCCGGCCACCTCCTCTCCCACGGAAACCTTTTGGCAGTCATGCGCACCCTCAAAAAGAGCCTCTCTTCTCGCTGGAATGGCAGCCGCGACGACCACCATGACGCCTGGGAAATGGTTTCCCACATAACCAAGCCATTCTTCACAATTGTCCCCAGCGCCGCCGTAATCAAAGAGGAGCCCGGCCTTCTGTGCATGACATGCAATCCAAATGAGCAGAAGAAAAAGGTTCCAGATTGGTAATTTCATCCATCCATTCATCATCATATCCGACAAGCTAGCTATATCGGCATCTACATACAATATTATTCATTCCTATACCTACCATGGATCTCCATCTATCATGCATATATGCATATCATGCATGCATGTACGTACGTATAATCACAACATACACTAGCCTATATGTTCGTTTGTTTGTTGTTAATTAGTTGTTGCTTTCTAGCTGTATGTGCATATACATAGTACCTACTGCCTTCTTACCTTGTTGTTAATTGTTTGCGAGCTTGCTACTAGCGTTGTTAATCCATCCATATTGTACCACTCCGATCCATATATACTCCATCTACAAATCATATTGTTCCTTATTAATTGCATTGGTTCTTCTTTATATAATAAGTACGTTACTATATGTAGCTTAATTAATTAATTGATTAGCTTGCTCTACCATATTAATGAAATGAAACCTTTTTAATATTCAAATTAATCAAATCTTATTTACAATATGCATGCGACACAACAACATATAATATGACCATTAGTGTTGCTTACGTACATTTACATTAATGCAACATGCAGTATATGTACTCTACATAACACACTAATTTTTATTCTAATAAGATAAGAGATTTAATTTTGTCATAGATATAAATTAATTAAAGTAACTAACAACACTCTACTCTTTTCTTCTTTTTTTTTGAGAAATTTACCTGTATAGGACTAAAACATAATGACTTTCCCAATATAGGACCATATGTTTTTATTTCCCAATGTAGGACGTTTGGTAATTAACAAGTAGTCATTATTCAAGTAAATGTCCATCATTACAAGACATTATTCTTCTCACTAAGTCATTATTAAATCCTATTTATGGAATAAAAAATTTTAAATCCTACATTGGAAAAGTCATTATGTTTTAGTCTAGTGCAAAATTTACTTTTTTTTTTCTAGTTGAAAAATGTTACGAAACGTAGTGCGCCCTACTGTTAGACTAGCTTGAATTTGGAATGTTGCATGCTCTACATACTTGGTGATATATCATACTCCGTATCATAAACTATACTCTTCCCCGGCCCCGTTTTTTTCTTTTTCAAAAAAAAAAAATAATCAATATATATATGCACTATGGATCAAGGCTTCATCAAGACCCCTCCCTGACATGTGTTTTCCTCATTATATTACTCATTTGACAAATAAACAATCTACAAGTAATTAATATACTCCCTCCGTCCAAACAAGTTTGTCCCATTTTGACTAAATTGGTAAAATAAAGAGTGATATTATGGTGTTGACTTTACAAAAATACTCTTGATATGATGGGCGTAAAAGTAGGATGTGATGTGTAGATTATTAGAAAAAAAGTACTACCTCCGTTTCTCAAAAGAGTTCCTCTTTTGACTTTGGGGGAAAATAAGAAAGTGTTAAATTGTAGTTGACTTTCCAATTTTGCCCTTGGTGTGATGGGTAAAAGTAAGATGTGATAGTTTAGTTGTTAGTGAAAAAGTATGAGGTGATAGGTAGGGTATGAAAAAGTATGGGTAAAAGTAGTTTTTTAATATAAAGGGGAAGTGTTTTAAGAAAAAAAAAATGAAAGAGGGAGGGTTTTAAGAAACGGAGGGAGTATGATATGATAGATAGAGTATGAACAAGTAAGGGGTAAAAGTGGGTTTTTAAAAAATTTGAGACAGACTTTAAGGGACACAATTTTTTCGAAACGGAACAAACTTTTTTGGGACGGATGGAGTACAACTTAATTGTGTAGGCAAAGCTATGTTAATTTAGCTAATCTACAAATAATTAATTATCTAAAAATCTGTGACATTTAGGCGTAGGCCAAGCTATATGTTACATACATACGGTGTTAATCCATCTTAATTGTGTGTTCTTACTATTTAGTACTCTACAAATAATTAATATACAAGTCCACCATCTTGTTCGTTAACAAGTACTACGTAGTTCCTAATTGTTAATTACTTATATGCTTGATATATGAGTACTGTATATACAACTCTATCATACAAGTACTCTACAAATAATTTGTACTCTATGATACAAGTACTCCACCATCTTATAAGTACTGTATGATACAAGTACTCTACAAATAATTAATATACAACTCCACAATCTTAATTGTTAATTACTTATATGCTTGTTACTTATATACTCCGTACTCCGTAAGTACTAGCTAGCTTAGCTTAACCCTTAATAATTAATTAATTAATTAATTTGCTCTACTAGCTTGTGACGTTAACATTTTAATCAATTAATTCCATAAACTCGATCATGCTCATATCATAAACTTAATTTTTCTCTTATTTTCTTTCATTATGTCAATATACTCCCTCCGTCCATGAGTGTTTGTCCACTTTCATTTTTTCACACCATCCAATGCACCTCTTTAATCCATTTTATCTTGTAATTTGTATGTAAAAAATTATAAAAATTATATATTAATAATCTATATGTTAAGACGAATCAAACAAGATCACACATGACTATTTTTAGGCTTATACATTGAGAGAATTTGATGAATCAAAGTGTTTAGATGAACAGTTCCAAAAGTCAAAAGTGGACAAACATTCAGGGACGGACCAAGTAATTCATAAAATTAAATCTTATTTATGCAACACGCGCATCACCACAAGAAAGTTTTCATTTTGGCACACTTGAAAATGTTATCCGCCACACTTATATACGTCGAAAAACGATTTGTCACGCATGTCCTAAGTGTCGCTATACTTAAATGTGGACTTTTTTTTTTGCATTTTTAGATAAGTGTGACGAATGAACATATTAACCACACTTAATATATATATATATATATATATATATATGTGTGTGTTGCTAATATTATTTTATTTCACAACACTAACGTACACTACGTGTTCTTAATACACCACGCACGCATGTCCTAAGTGCGTACAATTAAGTGTGGCAAATGACAACACTACAAGAAAATTTGGATTTGGCCGCACTTATTTAAGCACATATAGCTATGTGTGGCAAATATTAAAAGCGTATTTCATTTTACCACATATATGAGCGTTGCATTGAAAAGTGTAACCCAATCCAATGCATAACCAGCAATTATATCCCGGCTCGTACATAATAATTTCAAGTGTATCTGGTCGATTTACAAAGAGACGCTTAGATCACACATCAGATTCGTCCATCAACAAAGCGTAAATCAATTCGTCATCTTAAATCCGGCCTTCATCTTCGACTCACATCAATTCTTCATCGATCTTATCTTTTCAGATGTGAGATCCGGGAGCGAGACGCTGTAAGGGCAAGGGTTTGTAACCCTAGATCCCTACTTTGGATCTCCGATCGAGTTGCAAAGCAGCGAGCAGATGTGAGAATCTGGCGAGGACACTATACTACTTCACCTTTATCGTCCGATGTAGCAAAGGACTTCACTGTCAATAGAGGTATCCATGTTTTCCTTTTTTTACATCCTCAGATTAGGTTTTCTAATATGGCCTTCGATTTTTTTTGAAAGCCTTTGAATTGACGGGTTTGCGCTCTACTTTAGGTTTTGATTTTTAGCTTTAATTCTTATATCATCAAGCATCTATCAAAAAGTAATCAATGGACCTGGTTTTTTATTTTGCACTTATGCTTCCCTCTTGAATTTCTTTTTGGTGGCTCAATTTCCCAAATTTGCTGATTATCTCCGTTGGAAATTGGAGTCCAAATGGCATTGTGGTGCTGCTAGGTTGGGTTCCAAGGGGCTGTTTTCAATGCTGAAGCAATGCCATGATTTGGGAAGGCCATGAACTGCATTTCCACTGCAATTGCAACTAGTTTCAGGGCAGTTTTGGGCGCTCTTATCTCTGGTTTTTGTGTGAGCATAGGACATGATGCTGATGGTTTTGAGGGCTGTTGGAGTGGCTTTGCTGTGGTATACCGGGCCATTAACTTGTTTTGGGCAGTAAGTTCAAACCATAGTGAGTGGTTGATAAACACCTGCTGAAATTTGAACATTCATTGATAAACACCTGCTAAAATTCCAGAAATACCAATTATTTGTATCAAGTTTTGACATTGATATACTATTTGAGCTATTTTGTTAGCCTATTAGCTCAATAGTAGAGCTTTGTGTGCAAAAGTACATGAAGCTGTGGGTTCGAGTCCCACATAGGCTTTTTTATGAATTTCCAATATTAAAAAATGATCGTATTTTTATATATGTGGTGTCTTAAAAACATATATAAGTGTGGCAAAATAAAGCATTAGCCACATATATAAGTGTGGCTAATGTATTTATTAGCCGCACTTATTAAAAGTGTGGCGAAATTTTCCCCACACTATCACCCGCCACACTTACCTCATGTGCGGCAAATAGTCTCCCCCACACTTATATGTGTGGCGAAAAACAATTTTAAGTGTGGCGAAATACCATTTTTCTTGTAGTGCAACCGTGCTTAACAAACTTTTAAAGAAGATCCCTCTATGTGGGAGCTCCTCAGAATCATCTTCAAGCAACGAAAGTGATGAACCTAGCTAACATGAAGCACAAGAGGAATCATCGACATCACCGTCACAACAACCAGGCCACCACCACCCCACAAGAATTATCTTAATCTTTCTTTATTATTATTCAATCAATCAATAATCAAGAATTATCTTAATCTCTCGTCTCTCTTTTCTTGGAGCTCGGAAACGCTCGAAGTTTTCCTTTTCTCTTTGCCTCCCTTTCTTGGAGCCCGAAGACGCTTGAAGTTCTTCCCTATCCGATACGATACTCGTATCAGTATCTCATTGTCTTTGATTGGATGGTCACTTGGAATATAATCCAAAACTTGTTCTTAGGACTACATTGAATTAAAATGTTCCCCGGCCTATTGTTGGTTCCCTATTCGGCTTCTTAGGACTGCATTTAATTGAAAATGTTAATTTTGAGATGAACACGAAATGAATGTAGCAATAACTTGATAAATATATAATTTATATAATTAAAGAACAAAATTTAAACTTTAAAAGTTGAGAAAAGTCTTCATATACATTATTATATTGTGCAATAATAATACACGTATATAGGAGTATTATTTTATGTTTAAAATGCTATTAAACATTTTTAAAAAGCTAATAAATTATAAAGCTAGCTAAGTACTAAAGTATCTATTTGTACGTCCATTAGTGTGTTTTTTTTACATTTGTTATACTCCTTTCGTTCTTTAAAACAGTTCATGTTTTGACTTGGGGAGATCTAATTTCATAATTTGACCTTCTAATTATACTCTTATTATCGAAGAAAAAAAGATAGACAAATCATTTAAATGACTTATTATATCAATAAAAATTAAATTAAGTACTCCGGGGTCTATTGTAAGAACTTAATTTAGATATATTAACTATTTTTTACAAAAATAGAAGTGTTTTTGAGGAAACGAAAAAGTGAAAAAGGCCAGAAACTGTTTTAAGGACGTACGGAGGGAGAAGTATTTTATGATAGTTGGGGACGGAACAACACGTTTTAGAACTATCTTCATTAGGCATTTAGGCTTGGGAGTAAGACATGCCTGTAATCATATATAAATGTGTATATAACAATTAATTAATACGACTACCATTTTTTGGCATTCAAAATATAAACCAAAATTTTAGGGTCCATTTGGTATGTGGAATTGACGAAATTAGAATTGAATTGGAATTGAAATTCCATGGGATTCAATTCCATAAAATTAAATTCTGCCAATTCCAATTCATTTTTTACACTATTAATTCCAAATCTACATAATTTTTGAGCTACCAAACACCGGAATTGGATTTGAAGCCCTCAATTCCAATTCCATAGTTTGAATTCTATGTACCAAACAGGGCCTTAATGTTCTAAATTATCAATGTTTCATGGATTATGCTATGTGTACCCCAAGGTTTGTACCCCAATTTGTACCCCGCAGTTTTGCACCAACACTTTGTGTTGGTGTAAAACTAATTTTTGTTAAACGCACCAACATTTGTGTCCGTGTGAATATTTATTAACGCACCAACACTTGTGTCGGTGTAAACCATCGAAATGTTTGTGCAAGGCTGTGGTGTACAAATGGGGTATATTTTTTGGTGTAAGTGTAGCATGGTCCATGTTTCATTGCATTCTTTACAACCATTGAAATGCAATGGTTGGCTTCCTATTTGGCTTCAAAAGTACTTTTCTTTTCTATTACACTTTTATTTCTTCTTCTCATCCTAACTATATACTCCCTCCGTCTCGGAAATTATGAGAAGTTTAGTGTATTTTAGTGTTAAATTTCTAAAAAAAATCCTTTAATGTGAAGGGTAAAGTTAGAATTTGATGGATAGAATAGCAGTGAATATATATGATCTGATATGTTACTTAGATATTAGTAGAGATAAATGTGATCTTTTAATATAAATGAGAAAAGTTTTTTTACAAATGAAAAATGTAAAGAAAAAGATTTCTACGGATGGAGGGAGTATATTTCATCACGGACATAATTGATTCGAGCCTTTAATATACTCCGTATTAGATTTGTGGGTTACAGATGTAAATATCGAGTAGTAAATAAAAGAAAGAGAAATTTACCTAAATAGAACTAAAACATAATGACTTTCCCAATATAGGACTATATGTTTTTATTTCCCTATGTAGGACCTTTGGTCATTATCAAGTAGTTATTATTCAATTAAATGTCCATCATTACTGGACATTATTCCTTCCACTAGGTCATTATTAAGTCCTATTTAAGGAATAAAAAAGTTTAAGTCATACATTAGGAAATTTATTATGTTTTAGTCCTATTTAGTACAAATTTCACTAAAAGAAATTTAAATGTATGTTAGATGTTTCATATTAATTCACTATGCTTGTTGTCACGTTATTAGATAGCTTGTAGGCTCAATCGGATTGTATACGAATTGAAGTAGCCATGCCAACACGTTTTTAAAGTGTCATTGTAATAGATATTGACCCTACTTCGTTCCTATATTAAAGGAGGTGTATTCAATTGAGAGTGTATGATTTTTTTTGGACTCTCAAAATCTGAAAGGTAATAATAATTACTCCTTATGTGACGTTGGCTGAACTTTGTTAATTAAACCCGTAAGCATTTGTGCTATATACGTACATAGTGTTCCTTCTCGTTTTCTTTACACTATGTTTAGTTCAAGGAATTTGAAAAGGAAAAGAAAAGAAAATGAAGTGGAAAACTATTTTTCTTGTTTGGTTAGAGGGGAAAAGAAAGAAAAAGTGGAAGGAAAAGAAAATGAGGAGGCAAAATGTACCAAGTGTAGGAAAAATCAAATTCTTTCCATTTTGGTGAGGAAAATCAGAGAAAACCATTTTCTTTTCTCTTCCTTCCAAAATCCTTGAGCCAAACATAGTGTTAAGGTATCTTTAACCAACAAAACATGTACTTCTTGGACCTCTGCCGCTTGGACGCACTCCTTCGGTTTGCGCCTTCGCTAGCTCCCAACAGCTCAATTATCGTCCCTTGCCTCGTTTCTTCTTTGACCATGTATCGTCCCTTGCCTCGTTTCTTCTTTAACGTAGCATTTCACTTGGGAGCTAGGAACGAAAGAGTCAAAGAGGAATAAAATACAGCAACACATATAAGACTTTCATGTTATTTTCAAATTAAGATCTCTACATAATGATATCAAAATATAATATAGTATCATATTCACAGAAAATATATAAATATGAAATATAAAAGTAGCTAGGATATTTCAAAGCTATGGTCTATGTACATTTCGAAATAAATCTATTGCCTGCATGGGTAGCTCAGCTGGACTTAGAAGAAATTGTAAAGCCTATTGATACCAGGGTCGAATCCTGGCAGCGGCACAGTGGAAGTGCTATTTTTTATAATAACTCCTTGTATGCACACAGGGCACGATGCAACCTCTCTAAAACCAGATTCAGATTGTATAATGATTTACTCTCCTCATAATCTTGTCTTACCGCCACACCGGAGAGGAAAACCAATTCACCCATCCTCGTCGTTATTACGTCTTCAATTCAATAGCCATGTTTGGTAAATGGCGGTTCATCCAGCATTTGACATCTTTGACCATAAGCGGCGAATTGGACTAGTCAAACCGCCAAATTAATTGTTTGGATAATGGCTTTTGGAATTGGCATTTAGAATCGAATAGCCAAAAATTGAAATGCCAACCCTAGCAGCATTTCATTTAGCGATTCACCCCCTTTTCCGTTTCCTACCCTTTTTCCGGTGTTGCGTCTCTCTGCGATCCTCATGGCACCAGAAGTTTTCCTGACTTTCTCTCTGCAATTTTCTGAATAGTCGAGAGCTTGTCTGATTTTTTGTCACTTCTAATGCTCATGTCGTCTCAAAAGATGTTTGATACTTTATATTGTGATGCTTGTCTTGAGTAACTTATTTAAGTTTTTAATTTGAAATTGGTGTAGAGTATATGTATATATATATATATATATATATATATATATATATATATATATATGATATCATATTTATAAAATTATAAAATAAAATATATCATGCATGGTTGTTATTTGAAGAATGATAAATGAGAAAAATACAAAAAAAATCTACTTATAAAATATCAATGTAAATTCTCATTTCTTAAATTAAAAAAAACGAAGTAGCCTTTTTTGTCCAACAAAAAAATATATGTAAAGCATTTTCTTGTATAATGTGTGTATTTTTGTCAAATTAAAAAAATATTTAAAATCATACACAAATTAACATAAATGGAGGGATATCTTTATGTGTAATTTTACTCACAATGCAAACAGCTAACTATAAACAGTTAAAGTTGTCAAACATCTAATTTTTAACATATCAATGCTTAGTTGTTCAACTACTTATTCACATATGAAATTTTGCCTGAATGTTAAAAATAACATATAAACCTTATTGAATTCAAAATAACAAAGAAAATCAATCATGCAACAAGATTACAAATAATTCTATAACATTCACAATAATACTAAAATTGAAAAATAATAACGAAATCAACACATACATGGAGAGGAAAGTGAAGAATTACGGCCTTGAAGACAAAAGTAGTTCGTACATCAGCCTTGTACAAGTCTAGCTCCAGAATAATACTCCAGTAATAAAACAGCACTTGTTTTACACTCCATTCGTCCCGTTTAAAAAAAAATGCGCATTTCTTAAATAAATACGTAGTAATTTTGTTTTGCAGATAGATGAATCATAATTAGAAAATAATACTTAAACTACTCATTTTAAAAGCAGTTTTAAAACAAATCGTCGTACTTTAATTTTTTTGATTTTCCGTCCATCACGCCTACTTATTGCAATTCAATATGTTACCCTCTATGGCCGGTCTATCTATATATGCATAAGCTCTCTTTATCTTTTTATTTTATGTTCCTGATGGAGCTTCGCTAATAAAGACTTGAAAGTATTTAGCAAGAAAATTTTACACGGAATTAAAGTCATGTAATTTGAATTGGTAACTTCAATTCCAATTCTAGTGTTTGGTAGCACAAAAAATATGAGTATTTGGAATTGGTAGTACAAAAAAATGAATTGAAATTTGAGAGCTCAATTCCATCAAATTTAATTCCATTGATTTTTAATTTCAATTCAATTCCAATTTCGTCAATTGCGTATACCAAACGAAAGGTAATAATAATTACTCCTTATATGACGCTGGCTGAACTTTGTTAATTAAACCCATAAGTGTTTATGCTATATACATAGTTTTTCTTCTCGTTTTCTTTAACGGATCCTTAACCAACAAAACATTGTTGAGTGTTACTTCAAAGTCCCACATCGGTGGGATAGGAAAATTGAGGAGGGATTGGAGCCTATAAATAAAGAGGAGATATAGGCTTCCATCACACAACACAATCCTTCAATCTATATAATTGTGTATTAGATTTTAGGTTGTGAGTGTCAAATATTGGAGAGGTTTTGTAATTTTTCCGTGCAAAAATTACTAGTGAGATTTTATCCCAGAGGGGGTCGTGGAGTAGGTCTTGAGGTGCCGAACCACGTTAAAAATTTGTGTGCTCTCTTTTATTTTCTTTCCATTCTTTCAATGTGTAAGCCTAAATATAGTTATGTGTGATCTTGTTTGATTTGTCTTAACATATAGATTATTAATATATAATTTCTATAATTTTTTAATATACAAATTACAAGATAAAATGGATTAAAGAGGTGTATTGGATGATGTGTAAAAATGAAAGTTGACAAATAATATGAGACGGAGGTAGTATTATTTATTAGCATCGGTCAAAGAAATACGGAGTAACTTATTTCTCATACATACTCCCACCGTTCCTAAATATATGGAAGTTTTTTATTTTCAAGAGATTTAAGAGAAGTGTATTTTGGTATTGAATTTCCAAAAAAAATCCTCTGATGTGAAGCGTAAAAGTAGGATTTGATTGATAGATTATTAGTAAAAAGGTATGATGTAATAGATAGGCTATGAAAAAGTAAGGGGTAAAAGTGGCTTTTAATAGAAATAAGAAGTGTTTTTTGAGACGGATGAAAAAAATAAGAAGGATTTTCAGAACGGAGGGAGTATGTATTAGAGAGTACTCCGTATTATTTAAAAGTCTATCATTTTAATTTTAAATTAACATATTTTTCTATTATTTGAATGCATCTTATTTCTAATAAAATATTTAAAAAGTAAATTTATGAATTTTGTGAACGGTTTATTTCTGATTATAATATTACTCTTCTACTAAATATTTGAAGTTAAATAGTGGAGGTATGGAAGGTAAAGTATTAATGTGAGCCCAATCAAATGCAATGGGCTGCAGATTTTGAGCAATGAGGCCTAACAAAGAGCGGTCCCATCTATGTATCTCCTTCCCAAATGGGACTTGGAATCCTTTATTTAGGACTTAAAAGTATATGATGGATACAACTATAATACAAGCCATCATCTGTGCCGCCGCGTGCCTCCTCTGTCGTCCACCACCACCACCAGCTTCCACCACGCACCGCCGTCATCATTCGCTATTAATCCATGTGAGTCCTAGCTACCTAATTAATTAAGATTTCGTTTTTAGTTTGTTTTTTTCTTCTTCCTCCAATTTTGCGTTACAGTTTTAGCCATTTATTATTATTTTTATTTATTGATTACTAATCGTACCAGATCAGAAATAATTTTAAATATAATTACATTCAGATCTAACAAGAAATTATTTCAACCAGATTAGAACGTTGGTGACACCATTCAACTATAAATGGTAAAAAAGTATATATATTTAATTATGGTGTAAATTAAACATAATTAGATTCATGTTTGGATACAGTTTCTATTTATCAAATTTATTTTGCATTTACTTATTTAAATTATACTCCCTCCGTCCCAAAAAGATTTACACGTTTCAAAAAAATTATAATTCCTTACCCATTTCTATTAAAAACCCACTTTTACCACTTACTTTTTCAAACCCTACCTATCACATCATACTTTTTTCCTAATAATCTACACATCACATCCTACTTTTACCCATCACATCAAGGGTATTTTTGAAAAGTCAACGCAAAATTATCCGTCCCTTAATTTCAATTTTAGTCAAAATGGTAACAGGACTGAGGGAGTATTTAATTTATGACAACAGTGTGACTTCTTTCCCACTATTCCACTTTTGATCTTGCAGCAATAGCCGAGAGGGTCGAGAAGGTGAAGGGATTCACAGCTGCGTGGTGAGTTTCTAATTTCTTTTCTTGACTTCTTTCCAAATTTCCAATGTTATTACTACGTATATATGATTCAATATGTAAAATTCTTTCAACTTGATTTTGGAGATTTGATTTGTGACTTTTTTGAAATAAATTGATATAAAAAACTTATATAAATACACTAGGGCTATTCAAATCTTAAAAATTTAGGGTTATAAATTTATATAAATAAAACTAGAGTTATTGAGATGATGATTTAATAAATTGACACAATCATAGAAGGGTAGGGTGAGTCTTTATAAAAAGAAGCCAATAATGACAAAGATGGTGATTTTTTTTGAGTAATAAACTTAAATAGGACTAAAGCATAATGACTTTCTCAATATAGGACCATATGTTTTTATTTCCCAATGTAGGACTTTTGGTCATTATGAATTAGTTATTATTCAACTAAATGTCTATCATTACTGGACATTATTCCTCCCACAAGGTCATTATTAAGTCCTATTTAGGGAATAAAAAAGTTTAAGTCCTAGATTAGGAAAGTCATTATGTTTTAGTCCTATTTAGTGCAAATTTTACTCTTGGATAATTTACCTTAATAGGATTAAAACATAATGACTTTCTCAATATAGAACCATATGTTTTTATTTACCAATGTAGAACCATTGGTCATTATCTATTAGTCATTATTCAACTAAATATCTAGCATCACTTGGACATTCTTCTTCTGTCATTATTAAGTCCTATTTAGGGAATAAAAAAGTTTAAGTCCTACATCGACATGACTTAATGTTTTAGTCCTATTCATTGCAAATTTCACTTTTTTTTAATTACGTTGATTGTTTGTTATGAATAAAAATATTTTTAAAGCGTCGAGATATCATGGAATCGTTTGGCATTATATTAATCTAGTAATAATTCACAACTTTTGTGTTCAACTTTTGTCTTTGTATTAGGCTAAACTATGGAGATGGACATGAAAGATGATAAAGAGTTTGTTTCGAGCACAACAAAAGATGTGATTAATATATTACCGGAAGAAGTGATTGGGATGATTTTGTCCCTTCTACCATTGAAAGAAGCAGTGAGAACAAGTGTGGTGTGCAAAGAATGGAGGGTTTTATGGTCAAACTATTTTTCAGGATCTGTAACTCTGGAACCGCCACAAGTGCGGCCCAAATTCGGCTACACATTAGAGGAGGAGATGCCTTCATGTAGGTCCGACTTTGTACGTTTCGTTGATCGACTACTCTTGGAGGGGTTGAAATACCCATACTTGAAAGAGTTTAAAGTCGTGTGCTTCCTTAACGACCCACGCATAGCGTCAAACATCGATCGCTGGATCCGCGTGGCCACAGCGAAACAAGTCGAGACTTTGGATCTCAACTTCTTTGATCTAATATTCTCCCCAATGTGGAGTTACAATTTTTCATGGCCGGAAGGGTGCCGGTGTTTGAAGGTCCTTCGCTTGAGATTCATAAGTGTTTCGGGAGAAATGCTAGAGGGACTCTTGGACGGCTGTCCCTTACTCCAAGAGCTAAGCGTTTCAAGATCACAAAAATTAATTGGTTTTCGCATCTTGCACCACGAGGCCTTGAAGCGTTTGGAGATTCATGCCTCGGTGAGTTCTATGGGGGATGTACTAGTCACAGTGGTATCGGCCCCCAATTTGGTGTGTTTTAAATTCGGCGGCAATGGACGATTCTGTCACACATCTTTGGTCGATGTGCCTTGCCTGACCCAAGTTNAAAACAAGAAGGGGCAAAGTGAAAGATTTTAATTTCACCTAGGTTGATCGGGGATTCAGTGGTTTCCGATTTTCTACTGTTGGCAAGTTACATTACCTCCATCCACCTCCTCCTACCCATCTCAAATTTTTCTCACAAACAAAGTAAGTTTTAAATTTCACCTCAATCTACCTCCACCCACTTCAGTCCAAACACAACCTTTGTGTTATTAAGATCCACCTTTTATGTACTCTCTATGGCATAACTTCTTCCACCTCAACTCTAGTATTGATGAGATTTAGGTAGCGTTCCGTTCAACTTATTTGTGTGCTATATTTATCGGTAATCCGTCTCTCGTGCGTCAATCATGGCGAGAAACGCAATAAGTAGCGCCTGATGATGGCGGTGGTGATGCCGGAGGTAGCTGCCGCTACTGATGGTCGACAGCGGAGGAGGAGGCGTACGGCGCAACCGACGTCAGTATTGGGGAGAAGTTGATATTTGATGATTGTTCTTAATAATAACTAGTGAGAAGAATAATATCCAAATGAGTCTAGACATTTAGTTAAATAATGACTAATAGATAATGACCAAGGTGTGGTGTGCAAAGAATGGAGGGTTTTATGGTCAAACTATTTTTCAGGATCTGTAACTCTGGAACCGCCACAAGTGCGGCCCAAATTCGGCTACACATTAGAGGAGGAGATGCCTTCATTTAGGTCCGACTTTGTACGTTTCATTGATCGACTACTCTTGAAAACGCTAACGCTAACGCTAATCGCTAAAGTTATTCCAAATATGTTTAGAAATTAAAGATTTTTAAAAATGATTTAAAAAATTACGAGATGTTATACTACCTCCGTCCCAGAGTATTTGTCCACTTTATTTTTACACATCATCCAATACACTTTTTAAATTCATTTTATCTTGTAATTTGTATATTAAAAAATTATAGAAATTATATACGGAATATTAATAATCTATATGTTAAGACAAATCAAACAAGATCACAATGATTATATTTAGTCTTACACATTGAGAGAATTTGATTAGTCAAAGTGCTTAGATGAATAATTCCAAAAGTCAAAACTGGACGAATACTCCGGGACGGATGAAGTATCTCTCAATTTGTAATAAAATTTGAGAAGGAAGGGCATTGGCTAAAATAAAGTAAGGGGAGTAAGTAATAACACGGTGTATCCGAATTTGTAGCCCTAGATTTATTCGAATTTGACAACTTGTATTCGTTCCATACATTCATCCACTCTATATGTATGTATGTATACCCCTTTCCCCACCCCCTACCCCGCAGCACAGTTATCTTTAACCTCTTCTTCTCCGCCGGCGCCTCCAGATCTCTCTTTCCCTCTCTCAAAATCTTAAGGTATTCGATCTGAATTCCCAGATTAATCGTGTCAAGCTTTCGATTCAACATCTGCCTCTTTTAGAATCTGTTTATGCGGACTACTAATTTGATAGATTCTTGTGGTTTCTTTTTATGTGTGCCAGTGGAGTGTTTCTATTCTTATCACGTTCGCTAGATTAGGTTTATAAGATTTTGTAACGAATCACTTGCGTCTGTACTACGGAGTTTTAGGGTTCATTTGCCGAAACAGTAAAGATGGTTGCTTTTTTTCTCCTAATCCTAAGAAATTCCACTCTTTTCTTCGTTGATTATGCTGTTAGATTTGTTTTCTTTTATGGAAACACTAAAGATGGTTACTTTATATCGATATTGTTTTTAATTCCAGGAAATTTTCATTTGTTTTGGTGCTTATTGGGTTATGGGAGTTTTTGCCTGACAGTCATTCCTGAGATCCAGTTGATCAGTTTGGGGTTAATCTCCAAGTGATCGATTATTGGCTCTTTTTTCCTAGGGCTTGTGCTTAGTTGGACATATTCTGATGAACAAGAGCCAGATTTGTTGATAATTGGCCCATTTGTGTTATTATCATTTAAATTTTACCACATTGTTTTCTTGGGTTAATTGCCAGGTCTCTTGGAAATAGCATCCCTCCACAGACTGTACTTTTTGTGTGATCTTAGTCATCTTACTGAGTTTGGATTGTTGTTGTAAATGTTTTACTTGTTCTTCTATCTTTAGCTTTTACTATGTAACTGTTTTCTACATTCCTGGATTACATAATATTTGAGCTCTACTGTAATGAATATCACTGACACATCTTTTTTTGGATAGGGAGTTCAGATTTAAGGGGGATTGTTTACTGAAATTTGGCCTTTGACAAGGAAAGTTTGACTTGTATAGCGTCTATATAATTGTTAAAAGGTAAGGAGCTGAAATTGTCCTGTTTCAAATGAGTAACGGATAATACTTATTTGCTACATATCAACCAATTTATTCAGATTTCTGCGCTCTAAATTCAAAGTTGTTTCTTGATGATACTTCAAGGGAATATTAGATTCACTTGAACTGTACATGTTTGGTGGGGATGGAGGGAGATGGGAAGCAGAATGGCTAGCTATAATTTTAGAAAAAATTGCTTCTTTGAATTATGTGTTGCGATAATGTACGATGAAAATGATGAATTTTGAATTCTGTTTCATTCTTTATATCATTGCTTTTCTCTTCTCTCTGTTTTTGCATTTTTTCTCTTTCACATTTGCAGTAGTGTCATTAACTTGGTAAGCATTATAAACCATCTTCGTTTACCGTAGTCTCTTTAAACCTGTTGTCTCTGTTTTTGCATTTTTTTAGTGCTAAACAATTGGTAAGCATTAGAAACCATCTTCGTTTGCAAGATTCATATGCTCAGTACCTTGTTGGGCAACATCTTCACACAACTCATCTGTTCTCTTTCACATTTGCAGTAGTGTGTTAACCTTAATCTACCGCCAGTTTTTCATGAAAATCCTCTAGTTCAACACAACAATTTGCATGGAATTTGTGCATTCTATTCTTTAAGTTACCAAGGTGGGCATGCTGGTGTGTCATGGATAATAATTTTCCATAGGCAAACACTGTGTGCCTGCTATTCTCTCATGTTGTCTAATCTTGGTTAAAGTAGTACTTTCCCTTATAGATTATGTGGATATATTTTGATGGAGGAACTAACATTTTTTCCATTTCTCATTTTTGAGATGCACTTCTGGTCATCATCATACCAAAATGCAGTATTTTTGCTGTCATTTGCATTTCAATGGATGCCAAGAGATTCATTCAATTGGTCGAGGAGAAGAAGAAGAGGGCTTTGGAGAAGAATGAAGCTCGGCTGAAATGGGAGGAGAAGCTTGAGGCTGCAGCAATGGCACGCGCAGATGCCAAAGCCAAGGAGAAGAAGGCAAGATCGGCAGCTGCCAAAACCAAGAGAAAATCCGTTTCGGAATCTGACAGCGGAGGCGATTCTTCAGGTGAAGAAGGGAGAAAGATCATCAAGAAGTCCCACTCCCACAAGAGGCATAAAAAGCATCATCACAAGAGCCGCAGACGGTCCCACTCTGGCAGCGAGGAATATGAGAGTGATGGATCAGAGGAGAGAGACCGGAGGAAGAAGCTGGCCCACAAGGAATATGACAGTGATGACTTGGAGGAGAGAGACCGGAGGAAGAGGCGGGCCCACAAGAAGCACAGACATCATCGTGATAGACAAGGCTCAGACTTGAGCTCTGAAGACTCATCATCTTCATCTGATGATGAGAGTGATGATGCCCAGAAAAGAAGACACCACAAGAAGAACCACAGGCATCAAAGGAGATCCCACTCTGGGAGCTCCTCAGATTCATCTTCAAGCAATGAAAGTGATGAACCTAACATGAAGCGCAAGAGGAACCATCGCCATCGCCGTCACAACCACCACCACCACCACCACAAGCGGCGCACGGAGGAGGTTGGTGGCGCATCAGATAACTGACCGTTCTGCGTTTAATGCTTGCACTTGATTTATTCAATGAAACCTCTATTGACATGTACTATAAACTACAACTATGGTTTCTCTCTGCATTGCCTTTGATTGGTCACTTGGAATCCAAAGCTTGTTCTTAGGAATACATTGAACTGAAATGTTCCCCGGCCTATTGTTGGTTTCCTATTCGGCTTCTAAACCTTATTTGCATTCTTTAGGACCATTGAAATGCAATTGTTGGCTTCCTATGCTTCTAATCCTTTTGTGCATGTTTATGTGACAAAAAACGGCAAACATGCTATTTAAAATGGGATAGAGGGAGTACAAAACTAGTGACTAAATAGGGACGGAGGAAGTATTTATGTTTATTGGAAAACAAGTCAGATCAAGCCAGATCGGGGTAAATATATATAACTAGATCATATCAAACCATATTAGATTAAAATTTATTCTACCACACTTATTTCTTTCATCACGTGTTCCCCTCCTTTTGGTTCTTATTCTTATTGAATTTAAGGCCAAGTAGCACTAATACCCTCACATGGTTTAAAAAATAGACTGTAATATCCTTTTATTTTTAAAATTTATTTTTAAAGCCTTTGTATAAGAATTAAACAAAATTTAGTTTTTAAAATCATACTCCGTATATAGTTAAAAACTCACAAGGGTGAGTTTATGACAAAATTGGTAGAGGTGAAAAAAAATAGTGTTTAAGATTTTATGTAATGTGTAATTTGTAATATGCAATATATTAGTATGTAATATGCAGATAGAATATGATATTTTTGTAGAATATCATCTATATCTTCTAATATGTGGTTATTTTAATACTGAGTAATAATACTCTCTTCACTATTAGATAAAAAAATTATTTAGTTTTTACAGAGACTAAAAAAGTAGTGATTTTGAGAAGATATTTAACATTTCGAAAAAATGTTTAAAATATACGGAGTATCAACCATTAGCTATTGTCATCAATTTTCATATATAGTGACGACGCATAATATTGGAGGTAAGATTCGTGTCATTGAAACTACAAAGACTTTTAAGTTTCTCGCAACAGACGTCGCAGAAAATTGCATTGCATAGATCTGTCGCAAACTCCATCGCAGTTTCCAACAGAAATGCATATGTCGCAAAATGAAGAATTTCTTGTAGTGCGACCTCCTTCATCAAGTCCTTCATGACTCCATTGCGCGCCGCTTGAAAAAATTGACATTGGACTTGTCCGATAATAACAATAATGGTGGTCTATTCCCTATCAAATGGCGTGGTGATTCAATTCAATGCCCTTTTGTTTGTTTTTTTGTTATTGTACGTGAATACCGTTTTTAGGTATTATTATTTATTAGCATAGGGCAAAGAAATAGCTTATTTCTCATACTATATATTAGAGAGTATTATTCAAAGTCTATCGTTTTATTTTATACTCCCTCCGTCCCAAGAAACATGAGACTTTTGCTTTTTAGGAGAGATTTAAGAGAAGTGTATTTTGGTATTGAATTTCCAAAAATGTCCTTTGATGTGATGAGTAAAAGTATGATTTGATGGATAGATTATTAGTAAAAAGGTATGATGTGATAGTTATGGTATAAAAAAATAAGGGATAAAAGTGACTTTTTAATAGAAATGAGAAGTGTTTTGTGGGACGAATAAAAAAAGAAAGGAGAAAGGTTTCATGGGACGGAGAGAGTATGACTTTTCGTGACTTGTGCTCTAAAAATTAGTTTTGCAATGTAAAATGTCTATTATTTGACATTTGATGTTACATTTGTATATATCAAACATTTTTTACATTGCGGAGTAAAGTTTATATAGACCATACGAAGTACTTCCTCCGTCCCAAAAAGTTTTACATATTTTGACTAAAGTGAAAATTAAAGGAGGAATAATTTTGTGTTGACTTTCCAAAAATAACCTTGATTTGATGTGTAAAAGTAGGATGTGATGTGTAGATTATAAGGAAAAAGGTATGATGTGATAGGTAGGGTTTGAAAAAGTAAGGGGTAAAAGTGGTTTTTTAATAGAAATGGGTAGGAGATTGTGGGACACAATTTTTTTGAAAGGTGTAAATCTTTTTGGGACGGAGGGAGTAATATACATCTAGTATATTTGTATAATTTGATTATTCGAGTCAAATTCAACGATCTTTTTTTTTAAATAAAAAGTATATTGTATATTCACAAAAAACTGCTGCCGGGCACATCATGTTTTGTTGTAAGAACTGGCAGGTACCTCTATTTTTCAAAATATACTCTCAGGTACCCTAGATTTTGAAAAAATATACTAAGGGGAGATTTTCGTCCCCCTTTCCGTCTTTCCCCCTTTCTCAGTTACATTAATGCACCATCATCATCATCCATCATCCATCATCACCATCATCATCCATCTTCGTTCTTCCTCCTCTCTTCTTCTTTTTCTCTTCTTTTTCTTCTCCTCCACCCACTTCCAATCTCCCTGCCCCACTCCTCACCCTTTATTTCTTCTTTTTCTCCTTTTATTGTTGTTATTGTTGTTGTTATTGTTATTATTATTATTATTAGTATCATCATCATCATTCTTTTTTGTTAACAAAAAACCATCATTCTTATTATATTATTACTACGTATTATTATTATTATTATTTATTACAAAGTATTTTTTTCTTCTAAATTATTATTGTTAATATTATGAAGTAATATTTTCTTCTTATTCTATTATTATTATTATTATTAAAAATTAATTTATAGTTTCACTGTAAAATTGAAGGTGCCCGATAGTTCTAAGCACAAAATTAAGGGTACCAAACAATAATTTTTTTTACATTAATATAGATTGTGAAAGATTAATGGAGTATCCAATTTTTTGGTGGGAGCTTTAGTTTTTTTGTTAAAAATATAGTAGTAAAACAACTAAATAATAATAATAATAAGCATAATAATAATAATAATAATAATAATGGTAATAATAATAATAAAAATAACAATAATAATAATAATAATAATAATAGAAAGAGAAGAATGAGAAATAAGGGTGAGTAGTGGGGGTCTAGAAGAATAAGAATAACAATAACAATAATAATAATAATAGTAATAATAATTATAATAATAATAATAATAATAATAATAATAATAATAATAATAATAATAATAATAATAAAAGAAGAAGAAGAAGAAGAATGAGAAATAAGGGTGAGTGGTGGGGGGGTCTAGCGGGTGTGGAAAAGAGGGGGAGGAGGATGAGAAGAAGAAGAAGAAGAAGAAGGAGGAGGAGGAGGAGGAGGAGGAGGAGTAAGGATGGTGGTGGTGTAATGATGATGATGGATGATGATGGTGCATTAATGTAACGGAGAAAGGGGGAAAGACGGGAAGGGGACGGAAAATCTCCCCTTAGTATATTTTTTCAAAATCTAGGGTACCTGAGAGTATATTTTGAAAAATAGAGATACCTGACAGTTTTTACAACAAAACATGAGGTACCCGGCAACAGTATTTTGGTATATTCATGTAAAAACAGTTCAGGGGAGAATAGCATCCCAAACTGTAGGATAAACTTGCACACGTCTAGAAAGATTATGGGTAACAACATTTAATTTACGAGGAATGAACACTTCTAGTATGATTTCATATAAAAATGGTTAAGGATTACTCCGTAAAATATAAAATCAAACACGTGCGTCAGTAGATTTTAATTCTAGTGACAATGCAATCTTGTCTCGCAAATCAATCCATGCGCTATTTAAATATAGGCATTATTGTATTTTTGCAAGTGGCAATGGTGGTGAATGGCACTTGGTAGCAACCGCAAATGATTTCCCGAAGACTAAAATTGTACTATTGAAAAAAATTTCTCATTGCCATTTGCCACTTAAGTGATGCTCTCAGAATTTATTGTTGTAGATGCAACAACTTGTAGTTGTACTATTGAAAGAAAAAAAAGATCTCATTACAATTTATATATGAAATCTACAAATGTGAATGCAGCAACCAAACTTTGAGCAGTAAATTTTTAGCTATGCTGATATCTGTCCATGCCAAATTGAATGTTTTTGTTGTAAACTCCAGAATAGAACAAGCGTGATCCGAATTTGGGGTGGGTCAAAAATTCTTCAAGATCTTCTCAGCTGAGACGCCGTCAGCAACAAGGATAGAAGTAATCTCCTGCAATGGGTTAGAGGATATGTGATTAAGATGCTGTGGATATAGATGGCACAGGTAAATTGAGTGATTCTAGCTTTTCAATGATTAAAAAAGAAGTCTTCAAACGACCCCGGATTGCAAAGCAAGTTTTTTTTAGAAGCTAAGGGTGTGTTTGGTTCGAGGGGAGGGAGGGAGGGAAATGAAATAAATGAGTGGAGAGAAGGGAAATTTTATGCTTGAGCCAGGGTCAATACAAGCCTTTCTTTCTACTCCTGAGTAAGGGTAAGTATCTTTCTCCTCAGTTGGTAACAAGGTAAATGCAGAGCCATAAGGACTGAAAATTTCACATCTGACGATATCTCAACCAAATCAGACCATTTCCCCGAAAGGGTGTGCTAATATAAGCTATATTGAATGATAAGAAAATGTGTAGCAACAACAACAACCCAATTGGATCACACAAGAGTAGGGTCTTGGGAAGGTGTGTGTAAGTAGACTTTGCCCCTGCTCGAAAGTAGTCGTAGAAAATGTGTATCATATCTCTAAAATGACAACTGTTTTTAGAGGGAGGAAATATTTATCAACTCCTGCATAGATAGGCTCTCTTTTACTTATTTCATGGATAAAGTTTTAATGTGTGCAATTTGCAGAAACTGGAGAACAAAAATTGATGCATAGGCAGCATAGCCATGAATGCAAGAACTAAATCAATCTATGAATGCAATGAGATCTATTTTCTATCTCGATATGAAATCAAGGTAAAATGACATTTAAACGATTTGAAAATATGATGGTGTTTGAAGGCTCGTTAAGATAAGGCAACTACAAACCTCAGCCATTGGTTTTTGTCCACAAAGCACTGCACCAGTTGACTGCGGTCTCAAAAGCTTCTTGGCTTTGGCAAATGCAGCCTGGGGGAAATACAGGCTAAGAATGTTTTCATTGCAATATAGAGAAGTAAAAGAACATAGAGAAGTAAAAGAAACATAAAGGAAATGATAAATGTATAAAAATTGTATACCTGCACATAGCCACGCTCTCCTATCCAAGTATCATCCGGTTGAGACAATACTGGCACAACTTTAACTCC